TATTTACTAAACACCTTTTTTGCTATAACTTAAGAAATAATCCAAACACATTATCAGTACATTAATACCAAATGCAAAAGCGAAACAAGCAAAGGAAAAAAGCATTTTATGTGATGGTATGTTAATTTTTTGTTTGTGAAAGTAAAACCTAATTAAGGAACAAAACAAAAAAGCATTAAGAGTTTAACTAAATGTGTACAAGATGGGTCTTGTATTAATTATAATACAAAGTATTCATTTTATTTTTAATTAAATTTAATAATTTTGAGAATAATTAAAACTATTAAGCTTCATGGTTACAAAAATTAAATTTTTATAAGCTTCAAAATTTGATAATGAGGTCGGTCACCTTCAAATGATGACCGGAAGAATGTTAGTTTTATTATTTTTGTTTGATGGGGTCCTAATGAGCAACAATTCACAAACATAAAAGTCTAACAAAACTTGTAAAATATTCACACATACATTCAATGAACAACAGTAATTGTATATATAGCATGAAACAAAACCTTAAAAGAAAAGTAAAGCTAAAGAGTGATAGAATGCGGGAAACAGGAGCACTGAAAGAGAAAGTCGATTTCATAGCAGAAACAAGTGGACCATAATTCTATAGGAGAAAAAGGTGTAACATATGTTTTTTGTAGTGTTTGATTATCAGGCCTCTTCTCCCGTAAAAAACATGACCACTATGATTGTCAACTTCTTTTTTAGTGCTTATACATATGGGATCACCACAAAACCTTAAAAGAAAAGTAAAGCGAAGCTTAAGTGTCTCAAAATGCGAGAAACAAGATCCCTGAAAGAGAAAGTCAATTTGATAGCAGAAACAACTGGTTGACACCATCATGGTGGACGAGTTTTTTTAGGAGAACCCTTTTCAATATTTGAAATCTTGTTAACTTATGGAGAATGATGGACCATAATTACGCGGTTAGATAATCATAAATAGCTTTTTTAAAATTGAAACATGTCATCTTTAGTAACTCAGCAAGGACCAAGAGAATTTATAAATGATAAAGCTGATAGATTTCATTTGCCCATTATTGGTGAAGTGAATAAGCACATAATCTCACAGACCAGATACACACAATTAAAGGACCAACAGAAACATTCAAAAATGAAGATTTGACTCTTATCCTACCAAAATGAAAAACCAAAGATTGCCACTCTTTTCTTTTTCCTTTTTGTTTTAGCAGTAAAAATCATGCAGAACTTGACACTTTAGACCTAATCTTTGTACTTCATCTCCGACATTTGGAAGCCAGGCATGTCAAATGAGCCTGAAAACTTCTCTACATCAGCCTTCAGCTCCTCCATATCCTTGTTCTTCACTAGACCCTTGTTGAAGTCCTTCAATAGCTTTCCATATTGTTTCTGGATGCTCAAGGTGATAGTCACAGCACGGTGTAGGAACTCTCCAATCTGCTCAAAGTCCTTCTCGACCAAACCTCTTGAGGTCATGGCGGGAGTACCTGTCGATAGAACAGTCAGTTTCTAATCACTGAACAAGAAATTGTCTAATTCATATTGCCATTAACTCATCATGCGAGTAATCAGTTACTAAATATCATGCATCGGCAAGAATTAATGAGGCTGCATTGTGAAATGAGCAAGCATTGTATGTTTCATTCTTCTAAAATATGAAGCTTTACAAGTTTTACCAGCAATTCTTACCAATTCTCACTCCTCCGGGAGCCAAGGCACTGCTGTCACCAAACACAGCATTCTTGTTTACAGTAATGTTGCAAAGGTCACAGAGCTTCTCGACCTTGTTACCTACAAAAAAAGAAAAGATCAAAGAGTTAGAACTGAGTGTATGAAATCAATGCATAACCACCAAACTCCTCAAAGTAGATTCAAATATTTTACCAGTTAATCCAAGAGGACGGAGATCCCACAAAACAAGGTGGTTCTCAGTTCCACCAGTGACAAGCTTGTAGCCCTTGCCCATCAGATAGTTTCCAAGGGCAACTGCATTGGCTCTGACTTGCTTAGCATAGGCCTTGAAGCCAGGGTTCATGGCTTGTTTCAAGGCAACAGCCAAAGCAGCAATCTGGTGATTGTGAGGACCACCTTGAAGAGAAGGAAAGACAGCAAAGTTGATCTTGTCTTCGAAGTCATAAACTGCATCTTCTGGCTGGCCCTTCTTCGGTGGTTTAGGACCTTTCCTGTAGAAGATCATACCAGCCCTTGGACCTCTCAAGCTCTTGTGAGTTGTGGTTGTCACTATGTCACAATACTCAAAAGGGCTTGCAGCTTCCTGCACTCCAAAAAACAAATTTTAGACAAAGAAAGAACTCCCCCAGAAAATTAATTAATTAATAAGAATCTAAGAAGGCTATTAACTTGTGAAATTAAACAGAACTTTTAAAGATATTATACTTGCGCACTCCGCATCTCCAACAAGAGATCTAAAATTTAAGTAATTATTCTTAAAATAATAATGGATAATTAAAACAAAAGGACACAAGATCCATCTTCCCAACAAAACACTGTTTCTTTATAAACTTCGTGGCAGGCTTCGTCTCTTAAATCTTCGTTACTCAATCAAGATCCATTTTTTCACTCCAAAGAAGCAAGTTTTTAGACAAAATACAATCAAATACACAGAAACAAATAGAACTCCCCCAGAAAAGTACTTAATACAATAATCTAACAATGCTATTAAGTTATAAAATTAAACAAAATTTTTAGAGATATTTTACTTCTGCACTCCGCATCTCCAACAACAGATCTAAAATCTAAGCAACTCTACTTGATATAATAATAATAATTAAAAAACAAAAACAAAAGATCCATTATTTCACTACACCACATAATCAAAATGAACCCATTTTCAAGCAAAAACTAAAACTAACTCCACCAAAATGACATGCAAATGAATTCTCATATCAGCAAAAGCAGATCTAAACCACCCACCAGAGGAAAAGCAATAATAAATCGATAAAAACCCAGATCGAGAATTGAACATACCTCAGCAGCAACAAGGCCACTGATGTGAGCCATATCACAAAGCAAAAGCGCGCCAACCTTATCGGCAACGGCTCTAAATTTCGCATAATCCCAGTCCCTAGGATACGCACTTCCACCACATATAATCAATTTAGGCCTAAAATCCAACGCCTTCTCCTCCAACTTCTCGTAATCAATATACCCAGTAGTCGAATTCACCTTATAAGGCAAACTCTCAAAGTAAATAGAAGTTGCAGAAATCTTCTTTCCTCCAGAAGTATAATACCCGTGAGTCAAGTGACCACCCGACGGAAGATCCAACCCCATGATACGATCATGCGGCTGGAGAACGGCGGTGTAGGCGGCGAAATTCGCCGGAGAACCGGAGTACGGCTGCACGTTGACGCCCCATTTTGTGGGATCCAATCTGAAGGCCTTTAAAGCTCGGGACCTGCAGAGATTTTCGATCTCGTCGATGTACTCGTTGCCCCCGTAGTAACGGTTTCCGGGCATGCCTTCGGAGTACTTGTTGGTGAGGGCGCTGCCGAGTGCTTCGATGACGGCGAAGGAGGTGAAGTTTTCGGAAGCGATGAGTTCGATTCCGCGGCATTGGCGACGCTTCTCCTTCTCGATGAGATCGTGGATTTCTAAGTCCACGGCCTCCAAGGAAGAGTTGCCCCACTCTGTGACGGGATCCATTGGTGAGCGGAATCGGAGAGGAATTCGAGTGGAGAAGAAACGAGAAGAAGGTGAAATGGAAATGGTGGGTAAGGGAGTGGGAGTTCGGGGTTTAAAAAGAGTTTGCGGGGTCGTAGAAAAGTACGATTATGGCCTTTGTTTATGAAATTATTATGGGTTAATTTTTTCCACCCCTAAAATTATTATAACCTAAAAAGGCCTTTATTTTGAAAATTATTGTAATATTGCTCACTTCGGGCCTTCCCCAGTATTGTAAGGAGGTAAGTGATATTTTTATTTTTTTAGTTGATCAGAGGTGTTCGAATCAGTTAGCGCGCACCACGATTAATCTTTCGGGCTTTGAAGTTAATGATTAGATAAATCCTTATGTAGTCATCCTTATTAGCAACGGAAGGAAATCGAATTCAAGATCTATAGAGTAATATACCTAAGAGTCTTTATCGCCTCACCCAACCACCCAGGGGTGATTGAGGTAAGTGATATTTATAGAGAGGGTTAATGATATTACGCTGTAAATAAGGAGGTGAATTATATTAACCAAATTATTGTATATATATTTTTGTTTTTATTTGTTGTATTAGGTGGTGGTGGTCTTCAAATCCGTTGGTATTTGGTTGTGGTTGTGGTTGTGGCTTGGCTTCATTTCTTGTGAAATTACGTTTTAGACCTGATTTTTTTTGTTTAGATTAAAAAAAAAAAAAAAAAAAACCATGCTGAATTTTGGTGCTAAATTGTTGGATTAATAAAACTGGATGGGATTGGATTTGTATTTCAATCTAAATTAATTATTAATTCAGCTATTGTTATTTATCGAAAGCCATAGGATATTTATAAAATATTGAATTTATCCTAATATTCATATTTTTCATAATTTATAGAGACTTTGAAGAATAAGAAGTTGTTTGGTTGAGTTTATCTACATTCAAACTCTTTTAGATTGTTTTTATTGCATTCAAAAAAGTATTTATAGGATTTAAAATAAGTTGTTTTTATGACTCATGAGAAACGCTCAAATTTTAAACTTCTTCCATAAGCTTTTTTTGAGCATATTAAAATTTAAAAAATATCCTTATTATATTTTATAAATTTGACTTGATTTATTTTTGTATATAAAAACATTTTTTGGTAAATTAATAGTAAAAAGCTCTTTTGCATTTTTCTAACTAAACAACAAAGAATTTTTTCATAAAAAGTATATTTTCCTAAGCTCAACTCTAATATGTTCTTCCTCCGTCATTAATGAAAACAAATTTGGAGAAATTTATAGTGTTTTAAATCGTTTTTACTGATTTATATGATGTGGATAACGGCGAACAAGTTGGATTTGAATGAATGAATGGATTATAAAAATAGTTGTGTGAAAGATGAGGTTCCACGTACCATGAAAGTAACTCTTTACGTATATGACTATTTATTGAAAATACTACACACACATATGTACAATACTACCAATTAAACTCTTTATTGATTTTTTTTTTAATATTAAATATAATAATTCAAATATCACCAAAGTTTTTGGAAATCACTTAATTCACTCACCAAATTTAATATATCACTAATATTTAAAAATGGAGAAATATCTTTTGCCCTAGAGGTTCAAGAATTTTAATTTAAAAACTTAAAATTGTTAGAAAATAAGTAAGGAGAGTAATTTATAGAGTACATGTCACCTACCTTAATTGATGTTGATGCTTGATTTTAACACCAATTATTCGCACGTGAGAAATGTTAAGCAAACTCAGAAGTCACACGTGATATGAGAATATTTAGTTAAATAAAGAGTGAAAGGCAATGTTTAAAGTGGTTCGGATGCTCAAAAGCGAATCATACGTCCACTGATATTGTATTAATGAGAGTAAGGTCAGGTCACATTCAGCGAGCTAAGTTACAGCTTGGAGAATACAAAAGAGAGAGAAAGAGAGAGAGAGAGAGAGAGAGAGAGAGAGTAAGTTATTCAAGAGTGAAATTAGCTAATCTCGCAAATGAGAGGGAATGCCTATATTTATAGTTGGATAAACTAAGGTAATGATTACTAAGTTTGCAAGTGGGTAGGTATCGTGAAAATCCTTTTCTACGTCTCATTGCTCACTTGCCCGAGTGATTTCCCTGACTCTCGCAAGGATTGGACAGGTGAACAATTTCCAACCATTCGCTAACCTAGCACTCACCCACTGCACTGACAATGGCATGCCACTTGCGTCATTATGCGACGTGGCCGCGTCTGAACGATCGTAAAACCTTCCCAAGTTCTTACCACCCCATGCTGACAAGACTCCCCGTTAGCCCTACTTTTTCAGGCATAACAGAAGTCCCATAGTTTTTAAGGTTTGAGAATCGAATCTTGAGAACTTCACAATTATGCCTTGTTTTGATATATCTCGAGCAATGTCTAGTCGATCCGACTTGGCTACAAGGAGGTCGCAACACATTTTCCTACGAGCGACCTGATATGGTCTCTTTCCACAAGGTCGATGACCTGGATCAGACCCTATTCAGTGCCATATCGGTGCGCCGCCTCTTATTTTAACTGAGGTCCGCGACCTATTTATACTTAACATATTTCTACTGAAGGCAAGGAATCACACCGCTCTGCAACTGACACACAACGAAGAGTGTTCTTTCCTAGCGACCTCTTTAGATGTTATCTATTGCACTTTGCAGCTAATCCATTAATGAAGTACCAGTTATTCTGACAAACGTGTCTTGTACGCAATAAGTGTCAGTCATGCGCATTAAATGTAAGCCATGCTGAAACGACATTCTTTATCAGGGCATTAAATGCGAATGAGAGCGCATTTAATGTGGAGGAGGGAAACGAGCCGTCACTCGATTATTTCAATGGAGAGAAGTGACGATTGGATTTCTCAAAGTGTGGCAGTTACTCCTTTTCGTCGATTGACGACACGTGGTCGCGATCAACGGCAAGAGATGATTTCCGCCCAAACTTTGCTTGGCTTCAAGAAAACCAATCACCACCTTCTCCACTATAAAATCCCAAGCTTGCCTCAAGCAATGTCACAACACTCACTCTTTCAGAAAAAGCAAGAAGTTTTCGCGAGACCAGATTTTCCATCCTTCGAGTTGGTGCGCATTTGACGTTCATAGCAAGAAGTTCAATCCCTACACCTAAGAGGTAAGGAAGATCCTTCCATTACTTTCCTTTTTCTGTTTTGTAGATAACCATGCGATAACAGTGGGTGTTTGTGGGCGGTTGAACGGAGAATGGCTTTTTTTCTAGGGCATGAATCTTTAAGGGAGGTCCCCAAGGATTCTTAGGTTTTTTCTAGGGTTTAAGGAAGACATATTGTGTTTTTCTGTTCTTCCACGTCATCATACGAAACCTTGTACAAAGACTGAGTAATCCCTACATGTCGCTCTTTTTCAAACCGTATAAGAGATGGACCTTTCAGCTACCAGGACAGACAAGGGGACGAGTTCACCGATGCAGGACGCCCCAGCGGGTCCCTCGCAAGAAATTATGTCAGTGGCCACAGAGAGGAAATACAGAAAGCAGTTGACCAATATGTACTTAGCGTAGACGTCTACCAATATAGGACGCATACAGCTCGGAATCCGCCAGAGGGAATGGCTACAATCTCCGAGAATATCTTCAAATGCGGAGCACTGATTCCCTTCCATCCCTTTATAAGGTCGATCCTCAATCACTTCGGGGTTGCACCTTTATAGTTGACGCCCAACGCATATATGATAACCATGGCTATGTATATCGCGTGTGGCGAGAATGGTCTCGTGGCTATGTATATCGCGTCTGACAAGAACGGTCTCGACAAGTTGACTGCGCTAGAGCTCACTTGCTCGTATTATCTGAAAAAGAGCAAGGACAAAGACTCTTATTACCTCTCGAAGCAATCCACGATCGAGAAAGGCATATTCAATTACCCCAACAATGTCAGGGCATATGAGACGAAATTTTTCTTTTTTAATTACGATGGCATTTGCCAATTTAAAGAGTCAAGTAGGTATTCCCTTCTTTTGCTTGGTGAATTTTTCTTTCTTTAAATCTTTGCTAACGAACTCTTCCATTTCTTCGCAGTAAACAAGATGACCAGGTTGGCGGCTCTCACTGATTTTAATAGAATAACAGCTTTTGGTCTTCTGCTTGATCAAAGTCGCGACACAAAACTGCTCGTGACGACCTCTCACTTGAGGAAGTATGGCTTTTTTAATTCCGAAGCGACATTGGAATCCTTACCAAGTAAGTGTCCGTAGCCTTAGCCAATCTTATTTTTTACATGCAGTGAATTATGTTGCTAACGAAATTCGCATGCAGCGACCATGCCACCCAAAGTGCCTAGGTCGCTGAGAGCCAAGGGGTTTGCCTTTCCTCGGGTCGGTGCCACGGGACCAGTCGCAGCGGGCCCCAATGGTACCTTTGTCGAAGGAACGTCGATAGGAGCACCAACTCTTATCGAACAACCATCGAACGCTCCTCAGTCTGTGGCTGCTCGTCCTAAGCAAAAGACTGTGGCCCAAAAATCCAAGAAAATGAAGCAGTTGCAAGTCAAGGAATCAGAGTCCGAGCCAAAGGGCTTGGGTGTTCAGCTTGGGAGGTCACAACCTTAGCAAGCCTTTCGCTTGGGAGGGCCCCCCAGGTGCGTGACTGTCATTACACTTGCCCTTGAGGGTTCACGCAGGGGGCAAGGGGAGACTGCGGCTCCTGGGAGGAGAGTGGGAAAAGATACGGTGGGTGAGACGCCACCTGCTGTGGGAGCTGGCACACCTGTACTAGACTTTATGGGGCAATTCCCAAAGCACTTGCAACCGGTGATGTACACCCTCTTAGAGTGTCAGCTCGCAGAGGCCTTTGAACAGTTCGTGACCTCCAACCCTATGGACTTGATGACCATGGTGTTTCAGCTGCAAAGCCAAGTAAGAGGGTTCGTCTTCATCGAGGACTTCCTTATATTTGTTTTTTCCATGAAATGGAACTTACCCCCTTGTTCTCTTTGCTATGTAGTCTCTGCTCGCTATGCACTTGGCCTAGCAGAAGACTCAACTGGGAACCGTTGAGGGGCTCGTCGAGCTAAAAGAAAAGAACGTGCAGTTGAAACGGGACTTAGAG